TTCAGATTCGTCGGCTGGTCGGCGCTCGATCACGCTCGATCGTTTACTGCAAGAAATATTTTTTTTTCTTTCTTTGCTTTCCTTCCCTGTCTTTTTTCCTTTTCCTTTCCACTTTCGTTTTTCTCTATCCTTGTCTGTTGTGATTAATTCTTAAAAAAGTTTGCTCGCAATTCTCTCAAGGATGGTACATATTTTTCTTTTCTTTTAAACCCAGCAGTTTCCCTCCGCGAGGGTAGCTTACGTGAGTTAAATATTTTCTTTTCTCCTGAGTCTCAACATCTGATTGAGAATTTAGTACATCTGCTTTAGTTAACAATCTAACTGATCGATCATTTTCGCATCTAGTCCACGCGTGCTCGTTTAGAGTCCCGTCTTGTCTCTCACATGATTCACGTTCCACACGTCCCGTCGATAAGATGTCAAATTGATTCGAGCAGATCTACTATGGCTGTTGTTTAGCAGACGCTTCACACGAGTATCGGCCGATGATTGTTCGAGAATTGTTCTGCAATTAGCAGTTCGAGAGATACTTGGTATCACGCTACTCGATGTCCATCGCACGTTGCACGGCAATTTCCTTTACGTTTCGCACCAGAGAACTCGAACCGCGGCGGTTCGGTTGTAATATAAACGATGAACGAGATAAAATGTATCGTGAGTTTATATTCGCGGGCATCCCGTACTTTATTATTCTAGTTAGGCCGAGTAAATCTCGGTCGGTAATCAAATTATGCGTATCTCGTGCACGGCTTTCTCTCCGCTCCCTTTTTCACCGTCATTTTCATTCATCCACCTCCTTCGACGTGTTCCTTTCTCTCGGCTTTTTCTTCCAGGAGCAACCACCTGTAACCCCCCCGGAGACAGACGTTTCAAAGTGCACGCCTTCTTCTTCCATCTTCCCTCAACCTTCCCCCCCCCCTTTTAGAGTTAGTCTTGGCGGCCTTTTACGCTCTTCATCTGATCGACTAGATCGCCAATCGCACCAGACGATCCATCAAAAGACGACGCAGCCACGCTGTCGTGTTTCTTTTCCCTCGTTCACTTTTGACTATCGACAGCACTGTTGCAATTTATCGACTTTCTTCTTGACAGATTTCCATAATTCTAGACGTAAGAGAATCGACGGGGAGGAAATAATTAGAAGTGTTAACAAGGAAAAAATAATTCAGGTAATAATTCAAGCATTTAGGATTCTCATGCAAATTCACATTTTTGCGAGCGCTGTTAAAAAAAATCGAAGAAATAGAAGTAGAAATCTGTCTCGTCTGCTACGTTTCATCTAGTATAATAAATAGTATACTTTAGTATGTGTTATGTGTATTATCTTTGAATTTAATTGATTTAAAAAGAAAAATACGCGATCCAATTTTACATGAAAAATTCTTCAGAGAAATCAAGTAACTGCATTTTCTCAAAAAGGTGATAAAAGTAAGAAACATAACTGTATTTATTTAAAAGATTTTGTTATAAATTTCTAAGCCTATCATGCTTTTAGAGTGGTGAGTAAAAGTGTATTCCATACGACTATACTTTCCCATTCGTTATCAATTTTATTCTTCGAAAATCTCACCATAGATGTCTGATATATAATTTCTGTATCACGGTGTAAATTCATTCATCTCATTTGTATCACTCGTTCTCAAATATTAAACGTACTAGACGTTCAAAAGGATTTCGAGCAGGAAATAGAAATTACTTTCGACGAATCGATTTCGCTGGTATCCTTGAAAGTTTTTCATTTAAATCTTTTGTAATTTCTTTTCCATTTTATTTTGACAGACTCCCCGTGGATGGAATAGATCAATCTCGCGTGGCAATCCATCAAAAGAGCTTGCGATGGATTTCAGTGTGTTTTCGGCACGTTTATTTGTTGCCATGTACCTCATTTCTTTGACAACATGTTTTCTCTGAACGAAGGAAAGAGTATCACGCTTCTTTCTGTTTTTCTTTTTTTTTTTCATGGTATTTATGGCTTAATAAAACTCCAAGATTTAAATAAATTTTATCCGCCGACGTTCACGTGGAGAGATATCTCGTTTCTTTCCGGAAGCTCGCGCACTTGCAAACCGTTGAAGTTCTTTTATTTGGCTACAAAGTTGCCAACGTTATTACTTTGCAAGATAAATCAAGAACGTTTATTTCTGTGCACGCGTATCTTTGAGGAATTGAAATCTCTGAATAAAAACACGATTGCATCTCTTTCACTTTGTTCGTCACGTTTTTCTTGTTTTGTTTCAAATTTCGACTCAACTGTGTTACACGTGTTTCCTTTATCCGATCGCATGAGATGCGTTCTTCCTGTTCAACTTCAACCTTTGATTGACATGGCTATTATTCGTGTGGAAATTTAAAAAAAAAATATGTCTGAATATCGCGTGGATGCTCTCAATGAACAAAGACTACGACAATCCCTCAGTTTGAATTTGATCCCGGTTTACGATACACGGTTAAATCGAGAGAGAAATCCGATAAAAGTCGCAATAAAAAGTGCTTCATTCAGCACGCATATCGAAATTGAAAAACTGCCGACCTGGTGCATCGTCGCGTTCTGCGAGTTTACGGATCTTCCTTCAAGCGTTCAATGTTTTATCAGATGATAAAACCGTGCGACAGAAAGTCACTTCATTTAGACGGTATGTTAGCAGTAGCGAACGTAATGAAAAAGTATAATGTACGCTGTTCTAGAAATTAGCATTAGTATTTATATAGTTCAAGATCAATGAAACTGTGGGAATTTTGCTTTAAAAAACTTTATGAAATTATTATTTTAAATATATATATATATTTCTTTGATATAAAACGTTGTGTCGAGTATAAGACTTTCCTTTGGTATATTTGTCATAGGGATGTGGAAATCGCTCGACAATGTAAAACAATTTTGCTTGAAATGAGAATATTTTGGAAAAATTTGATCATCTTTTGTTCGACTGACAATAGTTGTCTAGGCATAAGATGAATGGTAACTCTTACTTTTAAAAAATTATCATACCCTTCGATCAATGTAAATTAAATTGTGCTTAATTGTAAATTGTTTATAATCTCCAAGTATTTAAATAAAATTTGTATTTCACGGGAGAAAGTCTAAATAAAATAATACAAGAGAAAATAATATTCATATCACAAACAAGGTACGATAATTGTCTGTGACTGTATTTTTACTTAAATTATTGATTTTTCTTGAGAGTTGCTACATATCCAGTTGTTCGTAAAGTAGAACTCTTTTGATAATGTTGCCCTTATCAATATATGATAAGATAATTCACAGACGAGGTATATCAATAGACCAAGCATCCAATGTATTTTTTCGGCCACGCAATTTCCGTTACCATTTTCGTATCGCGTCCTGTCGTATCGATTCAGCAAGATCTGTACCGCGAAAATCAAAATCAGACAATGTTGTCAGATTTGTTTACAAAAATATAGACATTGCCAGATTTCTTTCAAAAATTATTCATTGAATTAAACGTAGTGGTACTTCATCAAGGAAGAAATATAACGATTTAAAACAGAGATTGATGAAAATTGGGCTGAAGAATTTAGTATATATCTGACTATTAATATCTATTTGAAAGTATTAGAAAAAAATTGATTGAAATGTGATATTTTTACGGACAACATAATTAAATATGACGTTTTTTAAATTTACAAATTTGTAAATTTAAAACCCGAATGAATTATCTTTATTCCGTAAACTTGAATTTGTGAAAGTTTGAACTTGTCAATAAAATATTTCTACAAATATTGTTTCCAATAAAAATGTTATGTGTCCATTATGTGTTGTTATTTCTTTCGAAAATTTATTCGTCTCGAAATTTCGAATTTATTTTTTTAAACGATACCGCGTGCAAACTTTCGAAGTAAATTTTTAAATTCTGTTTCCCGCTTAAAAGTCGATCATGAGAAATATCGATTATATTCGCGAATCGTAGGAAGTATATTTCGTATTTCTCTTTCGTATTTTTGTTTGCAAATAAAAATTTATCTGTTTTACGGGGTGACAAATACTAGCGTCACATTGTGGTGAAATGAAGGAAATAAACGCTTATATTCATATTAAAGTGTATTTTTAGATACGTAATAAATATATTTTTAGAGATTTAAATGAGTTTTAAAATGTATGAATAAAAGTGCATATCTCATTTTATTATAAAGTTTTTCTATTTTCTTTAATTTTAGTGTGAATATTTTACGCTTGAATCGTCGGTAGTTAGTTTGGTGTTAAAATATCGACAATTTTAATAAATTTATATGTTATATATAATATTTAAATTCTCGTAACTCGTTTGATTGTTTCACAATTCAGCCGAATTCTATTTGTACGCATTTGAACTCCCCACTCCAACACATTAGTACGCAAAGCGAATCTGTTCCGTGAGGGACAGTTTAGTTTAGTGTCGGGAATCATAGTGTAAGGACGTGTTACTCTGCGTGATGTTTGTTGACTGTCTAACACTTTCATCACTATTTCTTGGCAGGTATATTTCAATAATTTATTAAATATTATACTTATTTAGATTTTGATCGTTATATTTATTGATGAACGGTCTCATAACCTCTCAAAGTGATATTCAATTTTGATCATTGTTTCATTCTTATATAATTTGTTCTTTTAATACATTTGGTCTTGGTCATTGCTTGATCATGTTACAGTTGATCTCGATCATTGTTTCATTTTTATATAATTTAGTCTTTTGATACATTTGGTTAAGAATTTTGATTTTCTTTTGTTCAGATTATCAGCAAATTGCGAGGGAAATTTCGAAACATTCGAAAAACTCGGACGCCGCCATGAATGTCAGGAGGACGAATACCGCGAAATTTAAAAGGACATCATTTGACTTCCCTGGGCATCGTTCACATTTAATCGTAAGTCGTATGCATTTCGATAATTTTATAATTTATATTTTATATAAACTATTATATAATTAGGCACTAACTATTATAGAATTATATATATATATTTTTTTTTCAATTTATTGAACGATATTAATTGGAAAAGTTTAGTTTGTTTTCACGTGGGGGTACTATATTAGAAAAGTAAAAATATTATTTTTATTATTTACAAGATGAGTCTGCTATCTTGCTATCTTTTATTGGATCTTTCTTATACAAAATTTCTTTCAAGAAAAGAAAAGAAGAAGAAAAGAAACTGTTTAAAAGTTATATATGTTTATTGGCTATAAATTTTTACTTGAGTCTAAATAATCACACTAATTGATAGTAACACTTATTGCTTAAACTAAATTCTATAAACATAGTACAATTATCTGTTTTTGCTTTTTATTATATGTTAATATTCAAACTTGAATACACTAATATGCTAATTGTTTGATAATATTGTTTTAAAATTAAAGTATTTTACATTACAAGTATTATTGCATTTAAATTGCAATCTACATCAAAATAAAGATAAAAATAAAGACTTTCATTCTTAAACCATAAAAGTTAAAATTACAATACTGTCATTAAATGAAAAAAGTGAAAGATGTAATGTAATTGACAAAAATGAAAAATTGACAAAAATCAAAGATGTAATCTCATTGACAAACATTTATAATGAGAATTATAATTAAATGAAAAGCATATAGTGATTGATTTTATTGGATTCGCAATTTCCAACAAAGATTTTTCAATCTAAACAATAGCTGTCTGTTCTGTTCTATTTTTTCCGCTACGATTTTAAAAAGCTCTCCATAACTCATGTTTTCATTCAGATTAATATTATTGTAAATTTCTGCTTCTGTTGGCTTTGACGAGCTTAGAATTTCCTCTGTCTGTGTACCGACAGATTTTTTCCCGAAAATCATTGACTCAAACATTGCTGTGCTTTGACTACGCGTTAAAATTACTTTAGAATTGTTGGAAGAATAATTCTCTTTTGCCTTGCTTCTTGTATGTGAATTTAATTCCATCTTTCGTTGTGGCCATTTAGTACACGTGTAATTAATAGTCCTTATCACTCCGTATCTGCGACATTTTTCTTTTTCGTAAATATTATCGCTGTAAAACGTATTATAATTTCTAATGTTTGACATTTTCAAGCCTACCTAGAACATAGAAGAAAAAGAAAATCCAAAATTTTAAATAAATTTTTAGTTTAAAAATAAGTCGAGGTGTAAATGAAATTAATATTTTAGCAATTTTACAGTAATATTAATATTTTTGAATAATTAATATCTACTAATAATAACTGATAATTACTAATAATAATTATTAATAATTATTATATAATATTTTCTAACTAATAGTTAATTTATTAATTATTGAGTATTCGAAGTAAGTAATTGAATATATCGAATGTTTAAAAAAATTTTAATAAGTAATAACTAAAAAAAAATTACATTATAATATATAATAAAAAGTAAATAATAAAATAACAAGTAATAACAAATAATAAAATTACTTATTAATTATTGTATTAATTTTGTAAAATTATTATTAATTATTGTATTAATTTTCCACTATTTTTTCATATAGTTAGTATAACTTTAATACAATTATGTACATATGTTCAACCACGTGCTTTCGATATATTTGGTTAGAATCACGCTAACTTTAATTTACTAAAATGCTGAGTATGCAACTTAATATAAATTACTCCAATTTTTTTTTTCACCTTTATAATCTTTATATACCTCTATACTTGTCACAGCATTAAAATGCATAAAATATCAGCAATGAGTATTTTGCACAGGTTATTATTTATTAAACAGTCACCATGTTCAATAAGATGTGTAATTTCATTTACTGACAATGAATGTAACTCCATCTATGACTAATCTAATGTACGATGTTCACCTGTAATTTTCGGTGGATAATTCATGATCACTTTCAAAGATCGATCGTGCAAGAAATTAGAGTACGAATTACATTATTACATTTTCAAAGTATAGTTTTGCGTGATAAGATAATATTATTTTATTCGGAGGGAATCTTAATATTCAATATCATTAGTAGAGTTTCAATTATAATAGATTATAAAGTTTCTATTCTTTCTATTAATGAAGCAAGTTTCTCTATTATTGTCATTAATTCTCTACAAGAAGCAAAATTGATTGAATTTACAAAAATATATTTTATATAGTAAAGCTGATTGTATAATAATTTTTATGAATTATAAAAATAACTATTATCTTGTTCACTGATCAATGAATTACATCCTTTGTTAAACAATAACATGTAATAGTAAATGTGTAACCATGTTTAACTTTTTTTTTTAATTATTGCAATTTAAAAATCGTTACTGATATTATCTTCAAACGTGATTCACTCTATTGTTACAAAATATTCTGTGTTTCAATTTTGTAATAGTACTCTGAATTTTTGCAGGAAATTATCTATTTGTTAATTACAATTGACGCTAAATTATACAAATCATTTGAAAATCACACGTTCATTCAATAACACGTCTCATTAATAAATTAGTATTTCTTAATATTATTTACTATCTAAACGTAACAGCATAATATTCGTATTTATCTACGAAGATAGACGAGGATGTGTGAAATAAAAACAATACTCTCTGGTCCAGAAGTTACTGATATTAAATTTTTTTTCTCCGCGCTGTATAAAATGAGGAGTGCTCCTTTGGAAAACTTCATCCCAAGGATAAAGAGTACGATAGAACCTCGATGGTTTCAAGTTAGATATGCCAAGAGATCCCTGCGTTTCGCACAACGTTCATTCGCATTCGATTTCCGATCCTCTTTTCTTATCCTTGTTGCGATGTTATCACATGCCAGTGGCAATTTGATTTATTCGAGTATATCGAACTTTTCTTCCAGCAAATCGATAACTTGCAAAGTTGCAAAGTAGTTCGAAAATTAGAAATAACGACGTCTTACTTCTTGCATCGTGATTTTGAGAACATATAACGTACAGAAATTTTATGAGAAATTTTTCAAATGTGATGAAAAATTTTAACGAGTTATCGTATATAAAGAAAATCCACATACATAGAATTCTTTAATCAATTTATTTGTTAATTTCACTTTATTAAATGTTGAAGAGCATGAAAACTGACAGAGAGTATAATGTAATTTTGAAGAAGTTCAACGTCTATTTCTATCTAGGTTGCTCACGTCAGTTTATTTTCAACTTGCAATTAATAAGAAATTCACGTGTGATGCTATGCTATTATATATCATTTAACGAAGGATATAATTCAATCTAAATCTATAAAGGCTTCTTTAAACCATATCTTGAAAGTTGTGATGATCTCAATGAAACGTTAACGTCAATGTCTCGAACAGATGATGACATTGATATTTCGTTAGATTGTCAGTAGCCATGTTTCATACAAACTACACCACCTATCAATAGCAGATATCTGTATTTCATTTATTCGTGGATTTTGCTCTAGAGCATTTATATTTTATAATAATCACTTACACTATCGATTGAAAAGTAATATTTTTACTCGTATTTTTATTAGAGTTTCACATATAAAACATTATAAAATTTCACTTGGTCGAAGTACCGAAGACAGTTTTTTATGCAAATCTGCGTCAGCGTTTCGGAATGCAAAATGCATTGTACACTGTAATTCTTATTTTGTCGTTGGATAAAGATTATTTCATCATTTTTCTTTTCTCTGGAAGTATCAGTTTCGACAGGAAGGAATGAACCTAAATACTTTATTCTGGTCTTTCAGCCAAGTAATCTTTATTATGATGGAATGCGCGGTCTGCAAGAGAGAGAGAGAGAGAGAGAGAGAGAGAGAAATGAAATTTTGCTTGGGGAAAATGAAACCAACTTACGGAATCTCTTCGAGCCAATCATAAAATCAGAGTACACGAGCAAAAGAGAAATATGATTTTCTGATCTTTTTTTTTTTTAAAGAAGATTTAATCGTAATGTACCTTTATTCGAAAATTAATGTTTGTGGAATTGAAAGATTATTATCTTCTAATTATTGTTTGATATTACGGTTTTATTTTCACTCGTGCTCAATTTCATTATTTTATATTGCTTAATGTCAGGTAATAGCGTCGATTGTACAATTATATCAATTATTCATCGTTAAGATAGATCTTCAACCCTTTCGAGTTGCACTGGAAATGTCAACTCTTCTGTGGCATAATCACAATTGTATCGAAACAATTCAAAATGTCAGGTAGCATTATATTCAGGTAGCATTTCCTTCAGAGATAATTCAAATGGTCAGCTGTGCAATATTATTGCATCATCTGACTACTCGCAATTATGTATTTCTAATATGCATGTATCTCTACAAAGTAACCATTTTCTAAGAGATACGATGCTGTGAAACATAATGAGATACAAATGTGCACAAATTACATTCACTCAATGAAAGATGAGATTTAGTATTTCTTATTGTTAGCCACACAATAAACGAGTAATTCTTTATCGAATAAATTCTCACTGCAATGTCGAAGTGTTGCGCACATACAAGAAAATGTGAAAATAATCCCCAAGTGTCAAAGGCGTTAACATATAAAACGTCCTAAACTGATTTTTATTATTATTCACCGCTTGAATTCACCAACTTAGAACACCGATCGCTCATCTCACCCTGTTAATCTGGCTAATCAGCTTCTAATCTCTACGCTCACGCTTTCCTTCCATGTCAAAAGAAATCACATCGTTCAATCTCCTTCAGGAAAGCACCCTCCCGAAGAAGCAAACACGTAACAGTCATTCCGTCGTCTTCAGAGCGCGTTTTATAGCGCAATTCGCGTTTGCCCATCATTTATCCTATCCAATTTTCGTACGACGCAGATAAATCAACACGCTATCCCCAGACGTTTGTTTCGCGTTGATTGACGGACACTGATAAGAAATAACCGAGATAAGCTCTCTTTCTTTGATAAAGGTTAAATGTCACGCAGGCATCAGGGCGAGCAAACGTCTGATTGTTCTTTTTCTCGGTTTGTTTCTTTTGCTTTCCACGCGAGATCATTGGAAATTCCTCGACCCCTCGTTCTTCTTCTAACCACCCTCGGTTCTTCACGTTTCTCCCGTACGCAACCCCACTCGCTTTCCTTCGAGCGACCTATCAGCGCGCTACCAGCGTCGAATGGCATTCAGTTCTCAGCGCGCCGCGACACGAGCAACCACCAGTTTCGCATATCGTGCAACTCGCGAGCTCGTTCGTCGATACGATCAATAAATTTCCGATCGATTCGTTGCAAACCATTTTATCTTATTTAATTCGTTTACCAAATGAGGAGAATCTTTTTTTTATCGATGAATTTCGTTCGTGAATAGTTACTCTCCCCGATGAAGGGCTAATCGAACTTGTAAAAGACGTGTGACCATTTTATTGTTTTCTTTATTTCTTTCTTTTTTTTTCTTTTTTTTTTATTAGTAAAATTGGACGAAGTGTAACGGTTTGAATCAAGTTGCGAAATCGTAGGATAGTGTTCGGGATTCAGCCATCAGTAAAGTTGGCGAGGACTCAATTTTCGTAAAAGGTTTCTCATGCCCGATCGTGTTCATTGACAAATTGATTCACTCTCGAGTCTATCAACTCGTGTTTACAGCTGTGAGTACCACTTTATGTCTTAATTTATTTTTAATGTGTACAAAATGTTTCAGAGACATAACACGCGCGTGTTAGAATTCTTATGAATAGATCGCGCATTTTCATGCAGATTCGCTTTCTTTTTTTTGTTTTCTTTTCGCGCGCGATTATCAGGATTGAACTTGGAGATTTATTTCTTAATTTCCACCAAAGCATACTGTAGCATACTTTAGATATTTTATTGTACTGATCGATCAAGCTTCGATTACGTCCACAGTTTATAGCCGATTTATCGGATAAAATTTTACTAAAATCATAAAGTCTCTAACATCGGTATTGTAATATACTAATCGTAGACGTAGTTCTTGAATGTACACGAAATATTCTATCTCTTATATATAAACTTCGCAATTTCGTTTTGTAAGTAAAGTTCGTTTCTCAAGAATTTTTATTTTGCCTCGTTTTGCAATTCCATGAGTAACCGTGAATAATGCACAACTGTGTTTTGAAACGTTTTTGGTCAATGGGTTGTCATAGAGGATAGTAATGCATTGGTGGTAATATTCAATGTCGATGTTTCGATAACAAACGGTGGTTTGAGGGAAATTTTCACACGAATCAATACTGCTTATCAAAGTCGCTGTGTAAATGATCCTAATCGCGAGTCACGCAGCTTTGCGATAAATAAATTCTCATATACGCGAGAGAAAGAGAGCTGTTACTGTTGTTGTTGCATTCGTTTCTCTTTAAATCTTTACGTGCGAAATTTTTTAAAAAATTTTATTAAATTTTCGTATCACTAGATCACTTTTCATTTATTATCGTGTTTACTATCGTACGGGAAAAGAAAAGGAATTTCCTTATAATTTTCGTATATTGTATACATAAAAAAGCATCTTTTATGTGAATCCTCATTTTTCGATTTTATTTTCAATATTCGAACGTTGTTGTATCGCCATTGTGTGATGTCTGCTAGTATAAGATAATTTTCTACTTTACTAACACATAGATATTCTACTGTGACAATTTAACATTTGAATATTAAGATGCATATTTGAAAAAATAGAGGTACACATAAGAAAGATTCAGTCGTGTCATTTATTAAGGACCAATGTTGCCTTATTGTGACAGTAACATTTCATTTGCAATTTTTTTTCGATTTATATTACTAAATTCTATTTTTTTTTAATATTGCAACTGTGATAAGCTTCGCCTAATACTTTTCCATTGTTTCCGTATTC